ATAAAGATTAAGATATTCTCATATGTAAAATTGTAGAATAATACCAATATACAGGGAATAGCAAAACTGAGAACACATCTGGTCCAGATCAGTGAAATGTAAAATAATTAGAAATCCTGAATATTTAAAAACATTTTCTTACTTTTTTGCCAAAGTAGCACATTAGCAGTTATTAGTATGAACCTGTTAACCAGTGCTGCAGCTGTGTTTCTGATTATGTTCGGCAGAATGTTGATGCTCTTCAACCCTCTGCCAACTTCATAAAGTCTCTCAATCTGTTTTCATGTGTTTTCAGGTCATTTTGTTTCCATCTGGAGACATTAGAACATTAGAAACGGTCCAGAACAAAACTGAATCATCTGAGGTGTTCACAGATTATTTTATAACTCTGGTCATGGAATTATCCTCCAGTGGGAATTACAGGTGCAAAGGTTCTGTATTATTGCATTGAGGTTGTACTTTCAATGCTTCCATATTTTTAGAGTTGTCTATTTAACCTGCATGTTTAGTTATACGATATCGGAGAGTAGTCAGAGAGTTAAAACAAAAGTATTTAGTATTCATTTCTATGCATCAGAGTTAAATAGTGACATGAATTCAAACAATAATCTCTGGCTTTAAAAGGCAAACTGTATAAAAGGCATTAGGTTTGATCTTATATTTATTGTATTTACTTTGCTGTGTGGTACAGCAGTGTGTGTGTTTGCTCTGCTCTCCACCCACACAATATGTTAAAGGTGATCTCTTCTGTAGATGACAAACACACATGTATAGAATATTTACCTCAGCGTGAACCTCACTATACTTTACTGCAATCGATACTGCATGTGTATTCTTTATCTCCATTATTTTTAGTGTAAACGTTCAATACACCATTTTAAAGCTGTATTTGAGATCCTGAATTCTAACTGAGGGTCATTCACGGAGATAAGGCTCCGTATAATGGGCAACAATCATTGTTTCCCACGTCACATTTATTTAGAGCAAGTGACATTCATTGTTTGTAAGTGGCACAGCTCAATAACACCATGCTCGTGCGTATGAGTTATTAATAACAGTGTTCTCTTGATACTCTCACCGCGGCTGCGGCTACATCTTATTCTAACATTGTCCGAATGGAAAGTACAGCCGCCGGAGGTTTATGAGTTCTGTCACAGTCGGGGCTGGGAGATCACGTCCAACACGCAGCTCAGATGAAAAGTGTGATTCGAGAGGAAGGAGATGACATCCCTATTATTTCCTTAGTCATCAGGTATCCACTCTAATACCTTCTGTCTGTCCTTCATCCCATCTCCACCCTCCTCACCCTCGCTGTGTGTTTAAAAATGTGAGCCTACCTCGATTTCTATTCTATTAACTTTTAAGCTAAAATCATTTGTCATACAAGAGAGAGACAGGACCCAGGGTGCGGAGCCGATCTGCTCGGAGTGCTGTGTACTGTGCAGTGTTATTCTCATCCTGCTTCAGTCGAAGGTTTATTCAGGTGGACTCACACATGGTTACATTCACAATTATGCACAAATAACATGATTTCTATTGCTCCCTGGGGGATAACGTGTGGGTGGACCGTCACCCAATAAGGTGAGAGGAAGAGAAACAAGAGCATTCTGATGAAGGCATGATGTGTTCATCACATTGTACATGTTACACTGCTGTCCTGGTTAAATGTGTCAGTGCATTCACACACCAAACTGAATGACAGGAGGCCTGTTATGGTTCGGCAGGTTTTTTGTTTTACGTACAAGGTTTGAAAAGCCCAAAATCCTCTGGAAATCCTCCGGCCTCTTCAGTAGTCTGGCCAATCGTGCATGATGCACGCCTATAACAAGTCCCCTGACAAAGCCCCGCAAAGTGAGAGGTGAGGCCGACATGTCGTACTCACACTGGAAGCAGTTGACCAATCACAGCAGAGCCGGCCAGCTGGCCAATCAGAGCAGACTGGGCTTTATCAGGAGAAGGGCCATTTAAGAGAATTTCAGACAGAAGCTGAAAATAGGAGCAGCAGCAAGGATAAGATTGTGTTTTCTGAATAAGTAAACATGTAAACATATTAAGGCAATAACCCCAATTAAAATTATGAATATGAGCAGAATATGTTAGAGCAGAATTAGGTCCATAAAATGAAAAAAGCCAATAGAATAAAAATTAAATGTATGTACATAATATACATCTTTCACTGTAGTGGTTTGTATAAAAATGTTATTAAGTAAAGTGCAGAGTCACAGGATGATTACACAAGCAAGTAAAACATTTGCACTTAGATATAAGGACGTGTTGTGATGTGCAGATGATGCAATATTGTGCATTATTTTACGTTAATAATGTATCTTTAAATCATATTTGACCATAAATCTCCGATCCGAATGAAAATTCATGTCCTTGAGACCACAGCTACTGAGACTCTGCCTTCAGTTTGAACTTGTGCAGGTTTGAGGCCAACAGTCGACTTTCTAAAAGGCCACAGGAGTTCATCAATGTCCACAGCAACATTAAGCACAAGTACTCCTCCACGTCGCCATCCTAAAGGACATGATCAGTCTCAAGCTTGCTAATGAAATGTCACAGCACTGTGTGAGGGCAGCAACTCTTTTGGATACGTCTCTATGGGCACTTACTTCCACTCTTCATTATTCTATTCCCTTCTACCCTTGATTTCCTTCCTTCCCTTGTTGTCTCTCGCCTTCACACATTGCTGCATTGCCTTTGTGCAGCACTTCAAGCCCAATCATCTGACCACACAGAACAAATAGTTGCAAGCCCTGATTCATAATGAAAAGGCCTTTTTCATCCATTAGTGAGAAATCTGAGTCATGCATGAAAATGTGTGATGACCCACCTTCAGGGAACCAACACGCTTTCTTAACCACGAGCTACAGCTTCACACGAGCACAATTAATGTTCTTGTCGACGCTCACACCTCAGGACCGGCGATGTGCGATCAGCCCGAGGACAGAACAACAGCATACATCAAACCTACAAGCATTTTCAGTAACAAGGTATTGATTTGGATCCTTGCCCAATAGAATGATGGTATGTGTCTGTTTGGTTTGGCCGACTAAAAAATGTGATTCCTTTTTTTCTTTTTGTACTACTCCCTTCCCTGTCTGTCGCTTCTCATCCATCTCAGAGCGTCTCCTCCGGTGTGAAGGGGAACCTGGGAGAGTGGCAGTGGCATCTGAGACATGGCATGGAGATAAGGATAAGGGTTAGAGTGCTCAGCAGACAGTGTCTGTCTCTAAACCCCTCGGCCAGATGGTCAATGTCTGCCGGGGAGATGGTCGATCCCCCAGGGTCACAGGAGCAAATTCAAACACACACTGAATAAGTATTCTACTATACTGCTATACTATAAATATATACACTTCAGCATTTCCCCCATGTGGGTATTTTTATTCCAAATTATATTAATAATTAAATATTTAAAGTACAAAAATTGTTTGGTGAACTGTTAAAATATCAGCGGATTGAAGCTGCTCCATTGGGCGAGCTAAGGTAATGAAGCTCTGCAACAGTCAAAGGCATAAAGACGTCATGTGTTTCTGTCGCCATATGCGGTTCTGTTGTCAGTCCTGTCCTTGGCAAACACTGTAACATGTAACGTAGCAACCATGGAGCGCAAGGCCAGGAAACTGAGAAAGTCTGTGTTCAGTGAAATCTGCCCAAGACTCCCTTCTCTTCTAGGGGGAGATGTAACGGTCTGTGAGCCCCCTAGATCCACAGACAGATGGAGACTCTCATCTTTCCCTCCTCCTCCTCCTCTCACCATTCTCCCAGGCGGAGCCGCTCATGCTGCCCCAGGGAACATATGTGCTGGTTCTAGGAGCAAAATCTCATATGAGGGCCAACTTTGAGATCTGGCATATTTCCCGAGGGGCTGTTTATTGTTCTATTGGACCTTCTGTTTTTGATGGACAGGCTTGGATTGGATGCCCATGTAAGACAGGGCACACTGAGACCTCTGCTGCCGTGCCAACTTCAGCAAAAGTGTTTGGGCAACAGAAACTAAAGATTAAAACACAATCTAACACAACAAAGAAAAAAGGCTGCGAGCAGTGAAGATACCGTCTGTCAGGAGGTGAGGCAACACTGTTCAGACCTGGTGACCATGATGCAAGTTGTTGGCCCTTTCACGTTGCTGTTGAAAACCAATTAACTCACCAGTAATCACTTCACTTTTATAACGGCCGGGGATAATAACATGTAATCTACATAAAGGTAGTGGGCTATTAAATGGCACGACCTCTGCCACGCTACAATCCGCTCCTCATTTATTTCTCTAAAGAAGAAAGAATAAAGAGCTCAAGTGAAAGATTAATGTCAGAGGAAATTATGAAGTTGACATCTTTGACTTCTGGGTTTTATAAAGGAGGTTCCTTCCGCTATATTCTCTTTCTATTTTAAAATGTCTAATGAAACTAAGATAGATGGTCTTGTGTTGTACATGCAGTTTTCATAAACGTTAAACTGCGATGGACTGTCTTCGCTCTAGCGCCAATTAGTATTTTCAATATTCAGTGCTAATCTTGTTACCGTAACGACGCTACGGCAAATTAATCAATAAATGTAATTTATTTCATCAATTATCTTTACATGTGCGTAACCATCAATTATAATCACTGACAAAGGACAAAGAGAATAAATAGACAACAGAATGTCTGTGATCGAAATGAAATTCAAACCCTCAGGAAATCAAAAGGTTCAGTGTCCATAAGGAAAGAGGAGAAGATCTGAGAAACTTCAACATCTGTGTTATTTAAACACATTTGCTACCATTGAACTAAGAATGCTGCGACCTGATAATTCATGAGCTGGTACAACGAGCAAATTATTTTTGGATCCTAATCTTAACCACTCATTACTTATGACATAGATGCCCTATAAAGTTCATTCCACATTGGCTGTTCTGACACCTGTGGCTGTGGTTCGTGGCAGGCTGCGAATTTGTTTCAGTCCAAGTGAAAATGTGTAATTCATGAGCTGCTCAGAGTTCTTCAGAAACACGGAGATCTTCAGAAGTTGCCTTTCCGTTCCAACCAATCAGGGAGAAGGATGCCGTGGGAAATTTTCCGACATCAGAAGAATAATTCCTGCTGAACTTCGCTTTCACTTACTTCATGGTAATCTGGGCTGTATCTGCTGTATGATGAGCCAAATCATTAAAATATGTTATTTCATATTGTGGAAGGGGAAAAAAAACATCTACTTAGCAAAAGCTTCCAAGAACAAATGTGACCTTTCATTGTGTTTTAATGGAACAGTGCATCATTTAGTCATCACTGTGGAACTCATGTTGCTGTAGGACTGAGGGAACAGTAACTCTACTGATCTTGAAACATGACATTGAAAAGCATCTTCAAACTGTGGAGGGAAACAGCAGCCACTCAAACGTCAGCTGATCAACGCCTGCTAATAAACATGAAGGAGGAACAGATTCTGACATGTTTTCTATTTATGTTCATGTTGTTGATAAATTTGTTGGTAGTCACAGTTTTAGAAAATGTCTCTAACTGGAGAAAAACTATGTATCAAATATTAAAGGAAAATGAGGACAAATATGTTTTTAAATATTTTTATGTCTCAGTTTTTTCTCGAATATTTTGTCTGTGATTCACAGAAGTGACCGTAATGTTAAATATGCATTGAGTCATTGAAGTGTGAATTTGTATCTTGAGATCATATTTCATAGTTTGTTATAAACTATATATCATTATTCAATTGTGTTATATTCAGGTGGTAAAAGGAAGTTATGTTTTCATCTGCATTTGTTTATTTGTTAGCGGAGTTGAGCAAAATCTACTCAACCGATTTCCATTAAACTTTGTGGAGGGGTGGAGGATTACTCAAAGCAGAACCCATCAAATTTTCACGCGACTCCAGGAATTACTTTCACCGTGTTCAACATTGTGAGATTCAGCGTTTTATTATAAACCATCAACTTATTCATGGATCTTGGTTGATTAAAATTACGAGGGGATTACAATGTTTAGGGGAGTGGTTTCCATGACTGTTTCAATTTGATGCTGATCCAAATAAAAATCTGGATCTAGTGAATTTAAATGTTTCATAAGCAGACTGTTGGGCCTCGGGCAGAGAGAACCATTCTACTTGAAATGGAATAAAAAAAGCTGTTCAGATTTAACAGATGTTTATGTTAAAATAAGCAAAAACTCTATTAGTACGTTATTTTTCATGTATACAGGGGCTTGAAAGATTTGGCTGCTGTGTAAGTAAGTAAATGCAATTATATACATTTAAAATCTTTAATAGTGGAGGTATCTTCATCAGTATAAGAACAAATAAGATGTACTGTGAGATCCTGTGTTGTGGTTGCGTTGATGAAGTGCGTATGGAGCCTCGACAGTTTGAGAGAAACCCTGAGTGTGAACAAAGGGCGGACCTGGGGTGATTATAGATTATACGAGTCATCGTGGTTCATGACGGAGTGTGATGCTAAGAGGGGAGCACGGAAAATTACCACACAGTAAATTAACTCGGCGGAGTGTGATTAAAAATAATTTTTTCTAAACTAATTTGCACTTACTGTAGCATAAAATTAAGGTTGCATTGGAACAGTTGGTTCAATTTTCAGAGGACCATCAGGACTTTCGAAATTTTAATGAGGATCCAAATTGCCTCTTTCTGTCCCATCCATATTATTTATTTGTGACAACCCAATGTTGGGTCTATCTGTTAAAGAGCCACAATAGTTTGGTAGAAAACAGGAACTATAATAGGCTTCTAGTTGCTACCGTCAATGACCTTTGTTATGATTTTTTTTATTATTATTCCTGATGGAAATAATTGAAAAAAAAGTCATTAGAATGTGGCCCAGTCCCTCTGCTCATCAGTCTCATGATGTCAAGAGAATCACTCTGTTTGAGGGCAGAGGTGACGGGTCAGCAAGGGGTTAAATGGTTGACCTTTCAACTCTCCACTCCATTTACAACCGCAGAGGGCAAATATAATTAGTAGCACTTTGTTTAGAAATCAAACCACTTCATCATCCGTCCCCACTTACTTAATCTTCTCAACTGGTCAGATGGCGTTTCAGAGAAGGAGAGTAAAAAAATCCATATTGAAGGGAATGTAATCTTAATGAATATGCATCTAATCACCTATGGGAAATGGTTCTTTGGCAGAACAATTCTCAGCTATCACAAGTTTTTCGGGGATGAAATAGTCTGTCACTCTGTTTCAGCACTTCAGCCTGGCACTCTGTGTGTGTGCGGTACCTTTCCCTCGTGTGGCTGACACAAGGATTAGCCTACTTGAAGAGGACGAGAGTGGATCTTTATGAGCTCTTCACGATAAGGCAGGGAGACGTTCGGGTGACGGGTGTTCTAACCCGACCTCCTCATGGTCACTGTGTGGAAGAGAAATGTTAGAAGATGACAGCAGAGAGAGCAAGCAGAATATAATGATCCTTTACCTCAACATGGCTTCCGTCCAGCGCGGTGGCTGCATGGTCTCCATGGACGGTCACAGTCTGTCTGAAATGACAGAATAAGAGGCCGTGACTGACTTTGATTTGTTACAGGAGAGCTGAGAGCCTGTCCGCCCGCCTGCGCAGTGTCTCTGTCCATATCAACAGTGCCTTGTGATTAGAACACAGTGGTGTTTAGTCTGGATCTATGGGCTCAAATTAGGGTCAAAAAGATGTTGAGCTTGTAAAGTGATGTTGACTGAGTTTTTAGTTGTAACTCAACCTTTGTTAACCTGTGAAATAAATCTCTGTAAGAAAGATCTTCTGTACATGTAGCAAAGACCGAAAATATACCAACATTTATAACCTCTAAGTGAATTAATCTTGCTCATGTGTGCTGATTCGGTTAATACTTTACCCCATGCGTGCAATCACAAACTGTCAGGTTTCTGTTACGTTCATTTTGTAGCAGCGGCCCGGGAACCTTGTTCTGTGCCATCTGCTGCATTTACTTGCTCTTTAGTCCTGAACTGATCTGATCTGATCTGCTCTCACTTTACATGTTAACAATAAGCACTCAGAAGTTATTAGGACACATACAGGACTTGAAGTTCACTTTGTGTTTGTTTGATTCGCTCGAGATTTTATGAGACACATACAGTATTTAAAAAAACATTAGATGCGCACACAGTTCACCTGCTACACAAAACACGAGATGTAACGTGATGCGCACAGCCAGGACATCAGGGTTCAAGTGACCAGAACGATCTGGATTCATGATCTGTTTTTAACCTTTAGTGAGGCGCTTTCCACTGTCTTTTAACATACACCCTTACAGTATATTATTAATATTATTATTACATTCAACAATTCAACATTTACAATCTTTTAGCTCTATGTTTGGTCTCCACCACATCACGGTATCTGTCACGTTAGCTTGTAAATGCAGCACATGTTCTGGACAGGGTGCGCAGCAGAAAGGTCATGAACCATAAAACCAGAAATGAAATTTGTCACAGAGCTTCTTCATCTTCTAACCACAACCTGTACAGCAGCTCCTGTCTCAAATAAAAATAACATTCTTCACTTGTTACTGATTGATCGTGGCAAAAACAAAACAGAGACATTAGCTAATACGACCATAATGTCCAACTGAATGAATGAAGTGAAACAAAGTGGCCATACGGTCTGATGATCTGGTTAGTGAGGGCACTCAGCTAAACCACAAACATCAGTGTGTGATGATAAAAACTCATCTCTCCACATTCACGTCATGTAATGGTTTTTATAGATTTCCAGACAGTAACCTACACCATGGCTGTGGTGGATAAATGTTTTAAAGACCTGACTGCAGGCATACGTGAAGGCAGGTTGGTGCAGTGTAGATATTTCATTAAGAAATAAAAAGGCTTACAGACGCTCCAGCTGGCAGGTTGGCAGATGCAAAGAGACATTCTGAAAAGACTCAAAGCACAAGGAAACGCAGGGAAACTGAACAGACAAACTTATGAGTGAGAGGAAACTCGGGGAATAAATCCACACAGCAGGCGGAGGTAATGAGACACAGGTGAAACACATGTGGGGCGGAGAGAGTAATTGCAAAACAGCGAAAACAACAGCAGACACATGAAGGGGAAATATGAAATAAAAGCAGGAATACATCAGCCAATACACACGGCCAACCTAAGCTCAGGTCTTTGTCAAGGCTTCTCTGTCACCGGGCTGAAAATCTTGCAGTAGGATCAAAAGTAGTTGATCTCCGGTTCTGTGGCTGTGAGTAACCTTGTGCGTACAGTGAGCGAGGCAGGAGGGCATGTTTCTGCCTCAGGCTGGACACCTGTAGTTGAAAGAGCTGTCTTAAAGGGATGGATATGAAAGACCCGCGCTACCAAGAGGAACTATTAAAGCAAGTGTGTCAGAGGCAGCAGGCTGCTCCGAAAGAAGCTGTCCACTGAAACTTGTTTTTATGGTTCCGATGGTTCAGCTGGTTTCATATTATCTTATTAATGCAGGTTTCAAATAACTATCTCCTTTCTCCCGACCTTCCTTAAATTTTCTTAAGAAATCAACGTGTATTTCAAATATTTTTTCTCTCAAAGATGATTTCTGTCATTTTGGGGTATTCTGTATTCACTTACAGCAGCTTAATCCCCCGATCATTACTGCACAGACTCCAAATGCGTTTGTATCTGGAATATTTTTGGCTAAATTTCTGAATAGCAGTGGATACATGTCTTCCACTTTGATATTGTCCATGGTTGCAATAAATGGTCACTTAAATAAATCTTGAACATCAGTGATCATGTTTATCATGTGCAGTCTGGTTTGGACATCCATCAGGGTCCTTATGGAGACTAAAGGTTCCAGTACAGTCCTGTACAGTAAACCAGAGCCTTGCCCCTGTCGCACTGTGGTCACTCCGTAGGCCACCCAGCTACAGGCTTGGCTGATCTCAGCTTCTCTCCTCTGTGGCTAAAGCTTTTCCACCAAAAGTACATTTTTAATGACACACTTTGTTATGTGGGTCCATCGGGGGCCCTTAGTGGCTGTGCTTTAATAAAGAAAGTCTCACTGCCTGCTCCCTTCGGAGAAAGCTTCATTAAACCCGGTGACGGAGAAAAAAAAAGATCTTTGAAGTCCCAGATTTGAGCCTATCCAAACTTTATATTTCTCTGTCCATCTGTCTGTCGGTTGTTTTATGAGTTTATTTTTTAATGTAACGTCAATGGGTGCAATAAACAAACAAGATATTTTGAAGGACAGATGATGTGACCCCCTAAGGGCCACTTCATAACCGTAATGGAGTGAGTGTGTGATCCTTGGGGAACAGTGTCTGGAGCAGAGAGAGAAGGAAAAAATCCACCATCAGTCTTCATCAATAATCATTCATCGTCATCTTATAATATCCAATCTCACAGAACCGAGAGATGCATGATAATGTTTTCAAAGCTGAACTGAAGCCAAAACTTCACCAAGCTTTTAGATTGTGTCCACGATTCATCTTCAACACAAATTTAACCTATCGTGAGTCTGTAAGTTATTAAAGTAAGAATTAAACCCAAACGCACCAGAAAAATAAGCACTTGAACCTTTATCAGTGTGATAGATCTACATAAAATGAGAGAAAACATCTTTGATAATAATTTCTTTGAACTGTACTATGACTTTTTTAAGTCCACGTCCAGTTCACAAACACAGAGGAGCCAGGATTTATGACTAATACTGAGGCCAGCCACCAGGAGGCAAACGATTTTTCTTCACTTTTGGAGAGCCGTTGTGTCATCAAACATTACATACAGTCTATGTTTAGTATTAACCTCCAAGTTTTACTAGTAGAAACTAAACTCCACCATTTGAACCCTTTGTAAGTGTTGTAATATTTGTCACAAGCCGATCTGACAACTCTATGAAATAATGAGTTTGTGGATGAGTGGATGAGTTCATACTCTGAAGAAACCATCCAAGACCTGCAGGAAGTTCATTGCGTGCTGCCATGGAAACAAGTAGGCTTTCGATCGGTCAGTGGGGGTGTTTTAAGTGAAGTAAATGGGAAAAGTGCCAATTGAAAGACAAACTATAGCCTGAACTTTACAGTCGACCAGTCTGCTAAACATAAAACATTGTTTGATCCTTTTTCTCCAAAATCAGTGATATATGTGATTAAGCCACTGAGACTGACCATAGATGGTTTATGTCACTAGGTGAGTAGCTCACAACATTAAATACAGGTTGCACTACCTGTTTTTAATGGCGAATTAAGTCAAGTGGAGCTGCAGGTAATTGTTCTCTAATGCTTCAAAGACTTGTACTTGTTCCCTGCTAGAATGAACACCTGCCTCTTGGCTCGGTGCTGTAATAATAATAATAATAAGAAGAAGAAGAAGAAGAAGAAGAAGAAGAAGAAGGGGAGAAATGATTGCAGCTGTGCTACAGTTGTATTTAGTCTGTGAATTTAAAAATAACTTCCACAACTGCACAACTGCCTTTGATTTCTGAAATTGATTAGACGGGTTATCGGAAGTATCTCCCTCCTCTTCTCCCATCTCAGTTCTCTATCAGGGAAATAATTACAGAACAGACTGATGACAAAACTAAATGGATGCTATTAGTAAGCTGCTGGAAAAAATGTCATTGTGTCAGGACCGGACAAGTGAGTGGTCTAAGTGAGTCAGATCTTGAGCTGCTTTCAGACATGAACCTGAGACTGGATATTATCCTGAAATTATCTGGAGAGAACAAATGTATAAGTCTTTCTCCAGAGTTTGAGCGTGTCAGAATGTCTGAGAGAGCCCATGTGAGAATACAGCATGAAATTGTCCGGAGAATATTCACAGCAGGCAAGTGGGTGTTGATTACATTTCTAACACAGAACTGAAAATAATAAGAATGCAAATCTCTCTGAATGAAAAGACGACGAGATTTTTAGGCAATAAGGGCCAATACCAGTGTCGATGTGCTGGAAACAAAAACATAGGATTTCAGCAGTGGAATTCATTATGTCCTGCCTCACTTTACTCAGGCACAACCCCTCGTCTGAACACACCAGAGATTTCACTGCTGTTGACGTGTGTTGCCACATGTCCGACTCTGAGAATCTCCTGCTGCATTCATTATATGAAAAAGACAAAATCCTGTTAATGTCCGGAACAAATTGCACAGATTTCCTTTTTGTAATTCATGTCTATTATGTTAGAGAATAACAGCTCAGTCCAAATGTTACATAGTCGACTTCCTTGTGCTGGTGTTTGATTAGAACATTGGCATATTCAGTTCCTATAATAGGCGTCACGTGGCACAAGCATGCTTGCGTGTGCTGCACAGGCACAGCTCTGTGTACCCACCATTTGTTTTATGTGATTTTGCACTCCCTCCTCGCAGGAGGGAAGAGCTGATTGCAGTGTTCGCCCTGTCTTTTTCAATAAGCCCGGCACTGTCACCTCCTCTTTCACTCAAACTCATGTGTGGAGTGACTGTCAAGCCGCCAAGGCCCATTCACTCCAGCACACATGCACATCCACCCCGGCTCCCTGTGCTCTGTCTGCACCGCGGCTCCTCCCCAGCTCACTCTCAGCTCACAGTAGCATTCTGCCGCTTTGAACTAGAATTTAGCTCACCTCCAGTCTCTACCCCGCGGCCCATTTCCACTTCCCCCATGCATCCCCGCTCTCCTCCCAATCTTACACACACACCCGACAACCACCACCCCCCTCTCAGCTCCACTCGGGGCTACATGATAACACACTTTGGAGGGAACCGCTTTCCCCCCAGAGCGGCCCAAACTGTGAGCATATTCATTCCATCATAACAGCGCTGTAGCAAAACTGCTGTCACGCTGAGTTTGCCATGCTAATGTGGCTCCAGGCACCACTATCCTGCCCTTAAAATCCTGTGATGGAGGTGCGTGCGTGTGTGAGTGTTTTGTGGGTGTTGAAAGGGGATGGAGGTGGGGGTTGGGGTGGGTGAGTGGCTGTTGTTTGGGGAGGTTAAACAGAACAATGCAGGGGGTTCTGAGGTGTGGGAGGGGGTGGAGGACGGGGCAGAGAGAAGGGTACGGAGATAGTTCATATCAAGGGAGCCATTCCTCTCATAACTTAAAAGCTGTTTAATTCCCTGTGAGGTAAACACTGAGTGGTGTGCGGCAAAGCCACTCGAGCCCACTTGAGCCCACTCCCCCAGCTCCCACACCCCGCCCATCCTCCCCCATCTAGCCTTTGAGAGAGGTGGGAGAAGAGGCTTCAAAGGGCCGTGCTGATGCTTGCTATTGCTTTGAACTTTGTCCTTGAACTGTCATATGGACACACAGACACTCCCTCTAATCACACACTTACAACCATCATGTATCAAGACATGTGTACTCAGATAATACCAACATCACTGTGCTTCATTCTTCTCCCAACACACACACACACACACACACACACACACACACACCGTTCTCTGTTGCTGCAGCGGGCAGCTGGGACTAACGAGCGTCCTACCTTCCTCAAATTGTTCCAAATGAACAATTACTTCCTGCTGACAACATGATACAGTCGTCTGTGAATCTTTGCGACACCAAGGAGGGCAGGTTGCAGGTTCCAGGTTCCAGTTACCCCTCTAGGGAAAGGTCTCATACACACTCAAATGTCACAGGTCAAAGTTCACCAAGGGTGACCTCCACACGACGCCATACCTCGAAGGGAATGTTTGACTCGTCCTCTTGCTCGCACGGAACGGAAGTGAGTAGGAGAACTTCTAAATTTATTGCTGTGAAACCTGGTGGAAGGATGTGGTATGAGTCAGGGAAGAACCTATTAAATGTTGGTGTCGATCTACATGGATCATTGGGCAGATCCAGGAATTTTTCAAAATTGCATCAATTTCTCAGAGAATAATTCAATTTGGTGCAGATCCAATTAAAAACCCGGATCTGGTGAATTTAAGTGTGGTTTCATAAGGGGGTTGTTGGGCTTGGTGGAGGTAATCCATTCCAGTTCCTCCTGTGTCTGTTTGCCACA